TTTTCTTTTTAAAATTTAATAAGCCACACGAAAGAAAGAACGTTACAATGCTACATTAAAGACGTCTCCAGAGTAACTGAATAACTGTTCATATGGATGGTGTTTTCTACTCTAGGGTACGCTGCAAGCTCGGGACGCACCCACGGAAATGCTCACGGTTTCGGCACCGCTTGGCATTCTTGGCGGAAACTTTTAAGTCAAACCTGCTCTGTCGCCAAATCGCTTTTGCGTTGCGTTTATAAACAAGGAATAGAATTGTTTTCACTATTTTATTACAATTTTTTTCATTGTTTTAGTGTTTTCATAAGATCATGTAACTCAAATATTAAAACACAAAATTCTCTTTGCAATATTTAGTAATAATTTTAATCTGAACTTCTAAGCTGGAATTTAATTTTGAAATTTTATGACTGTGAAGGGCATTGACCTGATGACGTATTCTGATACATTGATTGTATTGACTTGTTTGGAGTTTTCTCAGAAGTGTTTTTTATTTTCAATTTCTTAGTTAAAAAAAAATTATAATTAAATAGATAAATGAAATATTATTTTTACTGAATTGATTTAAATTTTAATAAAATCATTTTATAATTTATTAATCGTTTAAAGTTATAGTTTTCTTTTTAATTAAACTCCAAATTTATAATTGAAATGCGTGCAATGAAAACTAGTGTTATACTTGCGAACAACTTTTTTTCGAGTTTAAGTGTTGTTAATTATGATGAAAGTTGACAATGTAATTTTCTCTATAAATCAACTATAGATATTTTTTAAGATGCAAGCAATCACGGTGGATAAAACAAATCAATTAGGTTAAAAATAGCATAAATGCTAAAGAACAAATAAAAGCAAAAGTTCTCTTAGAGCCCTAAAATATAAATTATATTTTACTTTTATATATACTTAAGTTCAGATTGGTCTAATCAAACTGAAGAAACAGAGAAACTCTTATGTCAAGGAACTGTAACTAATTTTATTATACATGTTTATTTAAGTTTTTAAAACTATTTACAAAAACATCTGAAATATATTTCATATTAACAAAATAGTTCACTGTTGCATTCTAAGGATAAATTATTTTAATTGTATAATTTGCTTTTGTAGATCCATTTCCTAAGATATTCCCCAATTAATTATTATTTGTGTAGAAATATCGATTTTTCTGTGAAGTATTTCTTATTATTTATTTTGAATCTACCATTCATTTTTTTT